TAATAGGACTAAATGCAGTTCAGTAATAAAAATACAATAGAACATACTGTTTAATGAGTAGTAGATCAGTTATAAGCTCATTAGATAATTTTATATTAGAGAAATAAATAGGTTAATAGTAGCAGTTAAGAATGCTATTAATAGCTTGTATAGAATGTAATATAAGAGTAAACATCTTTTGTTGATAGCTTTGTTGATTTGTTGTTGAAGTAGGAGAGAGTTTTCAAAATAATAAGCATAAAAGAGTTGTTTCCAAATAAAATAAGCATGTTGAAGCCATAGTTGAGTACAAGATGTGTTGGTAGAGTTAAGTAGTTGAAGGTCACATTGTAACTGTTTGTTAATTTGGAAGATATTTTGATTAATATTGGAGATATTAAAATATTAGGTAAGTTTTTAACAAGTTTAATAATATGACTAAGTTTTTAAGAAATAAATGTAATATATTACTGTAAGGTGAGTATTGATGATTGTAGCTATGTTTATGAGAAACTTTATTAAAAATAATGTAAGAAGCAAAATAAATAATAGAGCATTGAATTTTGTGCCAAGTTGTTTTAATACTTTCATTAGTTTTACTATTGATAGAAGTTTTGTGCTATAAGAGTTGTTGGAATAAGGTGTCTGCAAAGAATTTCCAGTCTTTTGCAAACATAATCTTGTAGTTAAAGATGCAATGACTAATACTAACATATTTATGTAAGGGTTTGCTATAGGCAAGAATTAGATGATCACTAGAAGTTGAGATTTGGCTGTTATCAAGACTATAAGAGAGAAAAAATTGTATATTGAATTGGTCAGTCTAAATATAATTAAATATGACTACTACTAGTATTATTAAACTAGGTAGAATGTTTGTTATTAAAGTGAGCTCCAATATTATATATATTGGTGTTGTTAAAAAAATTAATAAGTTTATATTTGAAAGAGGAGCTGTAAGTATTGTCTTGTATATTAAAATCACCAAGAATAATAAAGTAAATGTGAAGTTGAGAGACTTGTTGAATCCAGTTAATAACAGTATTTTGAGATTGGTTATAAATAGTGATATCAGTTGATGACAGATAAACTGAGATGATAAAGAGCTTGATATTATTTTGAAAGAAAATATCAAGTTCTATAGCAACTTTAGAATAGGTATAAATACTGTAAATGTGAGGTTTAAGATTATTGTAAATTATGATAACAGTACCTTCAATAGAAGTAAGAGAGTTAGACCAATAGTAGGTAAAAAAGTTATTATTATAAAAGAAGAGATTAGTTTTATTAGAGATTTTAGTTTCTGTAATGCTTGCAATAGATATGTTATGTTTAAGGCATAATCTTACTATGCTTTTCTTTTAGTAGGTTTATTGAAGTTTCTAATATTGTGTATAGCAATAGTTAAATTAAAATGATGTGAAGTTAGGTTGGATAAAGATGAGAAAGAATTACAATTAAAGGTTGAAGAATGGTTATTAAAATATAATTCAGATGAGATAGAAGTAGAATTAAAAAAGTTAGATCTAAGAGGAAGATTATAGAATATAGAAAAAAGATATGAGGCAATAATGATATAATCTAGTAAAAGAGTGTTATTAGAAAGATATATGTGAGCTTTATTATAAGATAAATTAACAAAAAATATAATACTAAATACAGTATTGTTGTTGTTATATTTGTCAATATGTTGAATTGAAGTTTGAATAGTTGACTATAAGAAAGAAGTGGTAAATAGTAATAAAGAAAAAATTTGTTAAAGCATATATGAAAATCATAGAAGATTAAAGATGTTGTAAATAATCTTTCAAAATTGTCTTCTACAGGATTGATCACTGTATGCTTAACTCTTACAGCTGTGCAAGATACTATAGTTTGCCCTGTATATTGGATATAACTATTATTATTCTAGCCTTTTATATAAATACAATAGATTATAATAAATATGTTTTTCAAATATAGTATTCTATATAAATAGTATAATGCTTGTAATTGATAGTAAATAGAATTCTTATATATTCATTTGCTTAAATTAATTATTTAATTGAGTAATAATAATAATAACTTATAAATTATATATATAAATGTATCTATATGCTTGATATCATAAATAAACTAATTTTTAATAATTACTAAAAAAATTTTTGTTAATTTTATACTTAATTAGAATTATTTAAAGTTTAAATTTTAATTATTTAATGTAAGAATTTTATTAATACATGATTTTATATAAATATTTTAATTATATAAAGGTAAGAAAATGCTTTATCAGATTATTGCTATGAACAAAGTCACAAAGCATCTATTTGTTATAAGATCACAGATTATACATAATACAATCAACAATTGCCAGTTATAGTAAGTATGTGAAAGAAGAATTAGTTAAGTAATATTAATATAAATATAAAATAATGAAAGAAAAGAGAGATATATATAAGTATTATATTAAATAATAGTTATTTGAGTAGGTAATAATATATATTAGATTTTTCTCTTTTGTCTTTGTAACTAGCTGATGAAAAGTTTAACTTTGTAGTAACTTTCTACTCACCTGCCACTAGAGGTTTGGTAGTCATAATAAGTTCTAATAGGTCAGTCAATCAGGTCAAATATTATTTATGAAATTTGATTATCTGACTAAACAAGTCAGATATCAAATAGGTAAGTTAACTATTAGTAAAAGAACATCAATATAAGTAATTAGCAAAAAAAGTTAAAAAAAGTTAAAACAATTCTATAGAAAGGTTGTTGTTAATCATGTGAGCAAAAGAAAAATCTCATATTGTGTATTTTATGTTGTATATTAGAATATTTAGGATCAAGTGATAAATATTTTTTTTAAAGTAAGTGAAACTAAAAAAACCATGAATATTAAATAGTTAATATAATAAATAAAGATTAGAACTGTAATGTAAATTAGTTGAATGTAGTAGTTTTAGTACTTATCTATAAGCTATTATATGTAATTTTATATTATTAGTTTGTAATTTGTTTCAAATTATATTATTATGAAATAAAAATAATTTAATTATTATTATAAAATTTTATTATTATTTTACACTAATATTTGTATATTTGTTAAAGTTTTATGCTAAAATCATATGACTGCCAGAAAACTACTCTGCAAAAAATCAGTTCATTATATAATTGTTTATTTATTTGAATATGATTATTACAAAAGTATTTACTTACCTATTATTGTACCAAAAGTGTTATAATTCAATTATTATACATAAAAATCTTAATTTTACAGTTATTATGTATATCAAAATTATACTTTTCATATGACCAATGAAGCCAATTTTTAGTTAATCACTTGAAGTAGATATTGATAAAGTTGAATAGAACTATCTCTCTTATATTTTATATTATACATTTATGTAATTGTACTGGTGTCAAATCATGCTTCTTATATGAACAGTGAAGAAACAATATTATGCCTGCCAAAAAACTACTCTGCAAGAATCATATATGTAATATAATTGTTTACTTATTTGTACAATACTGTTATGATTTTGAATGTACCAGCATTATAATTGATCATTATATATAAAAATCTTAATCTTACAGTCAATACATATATCAAAATCATGCTTTTCATATAACCAATAAACCTGGTTTTTAGTAAATCACATGAGGTAAACATCAATTAAGTTGAATGGAACTATTCCACTTACATTTCATATTTCACATTCATATGACTATACTGATACTATTCTTTTGAGATGTTTTATAAGTTTTTATTGGTTTAACAGTATTATTAAAAGTTTATACTATTTTTTTATTCAGAATTTCTAAATAAACTTTTATATTCTTAATTTCTTAATCTTTTATGTCTAGTAATCTTGTTATATATTTGCATCAAAGTCTAATATGACATCAGGTTTTTATATTTTTTTATATATGTATAATGTTATACTTCTCATAGATGCTCTAAACTTCTAATGTTAGATAAGACCCAACTTGATGTATCTATGATTACAATTTCTTAAATTTAACTGATCAATAAGAAACAGTTACTGTAATATAAATATAATTTTCAAAAATTTGTTATCTGTAGAAATTGAACCTTAGATCTGCCACTTAAAGGTTAACAACCTATACACTTCACTAGGTTACTACACTCATTGTACTATTAATAATATGAATAAATATAATCTATTAATATTATGAATTTAAATACTATATTTTATTGATTAAAAAATCTTATTATTATTATTTTCCTATTTAAAATACTTAGTTATATTTTATAATCTATTAATTTTTTTTTGATTTAAGTCTTTTAACTAATTCAGTATAATAATTTGTTAAAAATTAATTTGAGTTTTTTCACATAATGGTACAATAAGCTATAAGTGCTATAATATTGAAACTAATACAAATTGCTTACATACTATTTAATTTTACAAACAAGCTTGTTTAAATATCAATTAACCTTTTTTTTAACAATTTATTGTAAAATCAAATTTTATATAGTTATTATTAGAATAAATATTAAATAAAATGTTATAATAAAACTATGTATAAATATATTTATATTATTTTTGTTAAAAGTTTTTTGTAACACAAGAACCTGATGCTATGATAAAAGACAGTTTCTTATTTTTGATATATTTTTAAAATTTTATTTACTAATGGATATTTATAATAGAAATCAGAATAAATTAAGAAATCTCATAAATTATTATTTTTTAAAATACATATAATTTTTGAGATAATTTAGAAAAACAAGTGTAGTACTACTTATTAACCAATTTTGGAAATTTGTCTACTAATATATGTTTGGACTAGAAATAGAAACGTAATGAGAAATTTTTGGAATTATTATTTTTATAAGTAGAAATTTATAAAAAATAAAGAATTTAAAGAAACTCTGTGGAATTTCGCATAATGGATGATCATCAGGAAGCACAGTAAATTGAAAAGCACTATAAACTTTCATTATGCAAAACTTAAATTCGGAAATTTTAATAATCAGTAATATCAAATTTTCTGAATTCAAGTTAAGTATAGTTAAAATTTTAATTCACAGGTTTTTTCTTGGCAGCACTCATTTCCAAACATAATATAAATCCTAATTCTAACATAAACGAACTTTAAAGAATTTTCAAGGAAGAATAATATTATGGTCATGTGTATGAGTTTGTTTGATAATATGTATTGATAAGAATTATTTATTTTTAAAGTGTATTTAAAAATTTTCAATAATTATTTATATAATAAGAAGCATTAATACTTAAATTTATTTAACAGAATTGTTACATAAAAAAATATTATACAAGAACTATACAATAATTTGAAATTTTTTTTATCCATAAAAGCTTTTATGCAAAAAATGATTTTGACCAAATCTATATCTTCCTCTTTTAGCAGATTTTTTATACCATTCAGATGCTAACCTTTTATCTACAGAAGTTCCAATACCATATAAATAACAACGACCAAGATTATTCTGTCCTAAACTATTTCCATTATTAGCAGACATCATAAAGTAAAGGAAAGCATTATTTTCATTTTTCAAAGTTCCAATACCATGTTGATAACAATAACCCAAATCATTTTGACCTAAACTATTTTCACCTTTTGCAGACATTTTATAATATTTAAAAGCCTTTCTTTCATCTATTGGAGTTCCTATACCGAATTGATAACAATAACCAAGATTACGATAACCTAAATAATTACCATTTTCAACCGATTTAATAAACCATGAGAAAGCTAAACTATTACTTTTAAGAATTTTTTCACCCAATTGATAACTATAACCAATTGCATTTTGAGCTCTTGCATTTCCATCTTTTGCAGATTTAAAATACCAATCAAAAGATTGAGAATGATCTACATTAACACCGTAACCATAATGATAACAATCACCAATATAACATTGTCCTAAAATTGAACCTCTAACAACGGATTTTAAAAATAATTGAAAAGCTTTTTGTTTATTTACTAAAACACCTTTTCCATATATATAAAGAATACCAAGAGAGATTAATCCAATGAATTGATTTGATTTTAATAAATCATCAGTAATAAGAAAATAATCATTCTTATTTAAAGAATAAGTAAAACGAAATTCATCAGCGGCCTTCTTATACATATCAAAAGCTTTATAATAATCAACATTAGTTCCAATTCCATATTCATAAAAGAAACCAATAATTCCAGTAAAACAAAATCTAAATTGATTATTATAATAAAGATTGAAAACTTCCGGTGGATATTTGCCATTATTAATTATAGAATTTCGTATGCACTGAACTATTGATGACGACGTGATTTCAGAAATTCCTTGAATATTAAATTGTAATATAAATAAATTATTTAAATTGAAAAGAAATCTCAATAAATTATTATCGTATAGTTGGTTTGTAATAATTGAAGGAATTTTTTTAGGAATATTTATGGAAAGGTTTAATGAATTAACAGGATTTTTGATTAAAGCTTTTTTGAGAGTTGTAATTACTGAAGAGATTATCTCTAATTCTTTGATTAATTCATACTGTAAATCATTATAATGTTGTAATAAACTTGTTGTATTAGAATTTTCTATACTTGATATAGGTTTCTCTTTGTGTTCTTTATTTTTAACAATTTCTGTAATGATTTCTTCATAATTGTAATGAATATCATTTAAATTTTTAAAAACTTGTTGAATAGTTGGACGTAAATTAGAACCATATCTCCAACATTCTAAGAATGATGAATAAATAAAAAAATTGAAAATTATTAAACATATAATAAAAAATTAAATTAAAATTACCTGTATATATTTTAACATATTTTTTAGGAGTTCCAGATATAGCTTCTTCACGTTTACCATGAATAATTGCATTTAATAAATTAAAGCAATAAGATAATTCGGATTTAAATGGAACAACACCACTTGAAATTTCCCAAAGAAGAACACCAACACTATAAATATCTGAACTTTTATTAAGCTTGTATATTTCATGATTTTCTAAATATTGAGGATCAGTATATTGAATTAATCTGAACTTATTAATAAATTTGTTTCGATATTGAAAAGATCCAAATTCATTTAATTTTATATTTCCTTTATGAACAAAAATGTTTTTAGGATTCTAAATAAATAAAATAAGTATTAAACAATGTTTAAAGAAAAAAATTACTAAAAAGTTGAATTTAAAAGGCAAACTACCAAATTAAAATGAACAATATCATTTTCATGTAAACACTTTATTGCACTAACAAGCTGTTTGGCAAGATTCAATTTATCGTTCCAATTAAGCATAAAGAAATTTCGATTTAAATATTGACGAAGTGTTCCATCATTAGCATATTCATGAATGAACATAATTTCATGAGTACTTTGTTTAATGATGCCTATGAATTTTAAAATATTTTCATGTAAGTCTACTTTCTGATATTGCCTGAACTAAAGAAAAATATGAAGATTTTTAGTAGGAATTTCATATGTATAATAATTATTAGAATAAAATTAAAATTTACATCACTAATAAAGTCTTTTATCGTATAGTTATTAGAAAAAGATATCATGCTTATAACTACAATCTTATTATAATTCCTTGAAAAGAACTTGTGACTGTTACTAGATAGTGCAGTCAAGTCAGTTTCAAAAGAGCTACATAGAAGATTTTTAATATAAGTTTCTTCAAAAAAATTATTAAATTGTTTAGCCATATTTAAGTCTTATGAGTATGTGTTTTATTTAAATGCGGAGTGAAAAAGAGAACGTATGCACATACGTACTAAAATGCACTGGATGGTACGTGTGACTAAATTATTCAAATGACTCGTGTAACGGATCACTTTTAATGATATGGATAATCTTAACTCTTATTCATAAACTTTTTAAGGTTAAAAAAACAATTGGCATTAAAAATAGATATCGATACGATTTATTGAAGATTAGTAACATTCTTGAACTACGTTTCGTAGTAATTTTTGAGCACGTTTCGTAGTAATTTTTGTATTTGGATTACATTTCCATGACTTATTTGCAATTCAAAATATCGATAAAGATACTATCAAGGTCATTCTGTGAGTGGGACAATCCTGTAAGCGGGACAGTCCATCAAGTGGAGCATTCCTGTAAGTGGAACAGTCCTGTAAGTGGAACAGTCCTGTAAGTGGAAGTGGACATCCCGTATGTAAGGGCAAGGATTTAAGTTCGAGAGGTACAACATTTTACAAAAAGAAATCACATGATTAAGTTATTTCTGATTTCTTAAAACTACTCCGATAAGGTAATAATAAATTAGTAATTGTGCGATGGTCAGGGTTGTTAAATTACCGGTAAATTACCAACAAATTGCCAAAAACATAAGTAATTTACAGGTAATTTGATAAGGTATACCAAGAATCGCAATAAAACAAATCGAATAAGTTTTATAATTTTTGTGTCCCAATCTTATGGAAATTCGCAGAAAGGTGTGACCTGTAGATCATATTATCATGTAATCGGCAGATTTTTTTGATTCTCCGACAATTTTTTTAAAAAAAGGTTTATCATTATATAGAAATTGCCAATTGAAAGTCTGATCGACAGGAAATTTAGTTTGGCAATTTCAAAGATTTAGAATAAATATAGAAATTGCCGGTTGAAAATCTGATCGACAGGAAATTTAGAATCTTGGAAATTTTCCGCTATCGTTATCATTACGAAAATCACTAACCATACTGAACTTTGATGCTTTGTAATTCAATCAGTGAGTCGTTGAAAATACTATCGATATGATTAGAATACATAAGTGGAAGGTGTAACACCTGCAGATCATAGTATCACAGTAAATCAGAAAATCATCGGATTTTTTGATTCACAGACAATTTTAAAGATTTAAAAATATGATCGATAGGAAATTGAGTTTTCTGACACTATCATCACGAAAATCAGTGTTACACCTTTCTGAAACCGCCATAAAGTCGAAGCTAATGAACATGGATCAATATATCAAACCCGCAGCACATTTTATTGCACAGTATTACAAAATGTACAGCAGACATAAGCATAAATTTACTAAGTCATAAAATCATAAAGTAATCACTGTTGTAAACGTTACTTTCCTTCGGTTTTTGTAATCTATTATAAAAAAGCACTGCTAAAAAGATCGGCAAGAGCGCGGGCTCGTGAAATTACTACAAATGTAAAACCTATAGGAAATTCTTTATTGTCAATGTTTATTATTGCTTGTGATAATATTAAGACTTTTAATTTATAAATTGTAATTTCTAAAGCAAGGCATAAAAAAATTACATACAAAACCAAATTCTTAATTTCCTTATCAACTATGCTTAATGTGAAAACCACTGTGAACTACTAAACTATTTAAAGTATATAAAATTGACCATTTTATTTCATAAATAATATTTTTTCGTTGATTAATTAGCATAAATGTTTTTCTTGAACTTAACTATCTATCACACAATATGTATGTTTTTTTTATTTTTTAATTATTATTGTGGCTCATACTGAAATCTTGACATATTACATTATGAAATTGTAAAAATTTTTTCTTATTTAAATAGGATTTCTGGTTAAGCCGATTCTAGCATAAGGCACCACAATTAATTAAAATTTCTCCAAAATCAAGATTTATCATAAAACTGAAAAGGCCATTTTATTTCAAAATATTGATTAAGGTCATTCTTATGAAAATTACGGTTTAATTTCTTGTAATGTGTAAGAAATTAATTTCTTCGTTTGATGATTACCCACATCTTCTGCATTTAAATAACAAGCAAGAAGTTTACATGAAAACATAATGTGTTCAAGTTACAATTACATGAAATTCTAAATTATCGAAACTTACATATTTATTTTCGGATTAAGATATTTCAAGCATTGGTTAGCATTTTAGACAGTGCAACTTCAACTTCAGCCTGGTGTCAACTTCAACCACGACAATAATTAATGGATAATATGAACAAGTGTAGAAAATAATTATTTCAACTAGGTAACAGGTCCGTCACTTAAATAATGGGCCATACCGATTATAAGTCACATGTTGAGAGGCTGAACGAACATCTAAATTTATCTATCATAGATATTTATTAAGTTCCGTTCATTTCACTGACAATTACAGCTGTTATAATTTTTGAAACACCTGATAAAAATTAACCGAATGATTTTTCTGCCAATTCTGTTAAATTTGTGATTTCGGCATGACCCGTATAATAAAAGTTAATTTTAGTAACGATAGTTTACATATCATTATGCATAAGATAATATCAATGTTATTAAAATCTCGTTCGAATGCTCATCCAACATTTGTGGTATATTTAGTTTGTACAAAATTTATAGAAAGACTGATTTTGTCAGCTAATAAACCTTAGCAAGAATATAAAAATGCCAGGATATAAACTGGGATTTTTATAAACGATTTACGCTATGGATTAAATTGTCATAAGACCAATTTTATGTTTTTATTGAACGTAATTTTCTTGAAGCGACGGAAAATTTTCAATACATCCATATCTTTGAAAGTGCTTGAGAATTTGATTTATAAAAGATATGCTAACATTTAAGCGTTTGGTAAAAATTTTTCGATTATCTACCAGAGAAGATGTCATATTTCTGTATTCAACCAGAGATACATACTGTACGTAATACTAAATTTTGTAAATGTTTACAGTTACCGAATCTTAAATCATATATATCAATTTGAATCTATTATAGAATCGACCGAAAATCATTTAGTTATGTTCCAGATGGATGACGCCATTTCACTGACAATCACTTTACCGTTCGACCGAAAAAGTAATTATGGTCATTTTTCGTTAGGGTTAGATTAGAGTTAAGGTTAGCGCAATTTCTATAAAGACTTGTGAAATAAACATATTGATAAATTGATATGACACGGATTTGTTCCAGAAATTATGATAACAGCTGTACTTGTTCGACGTCGTTTCACAATTTAGGTCGATTTTGAATTGACCTACGTTATTCTTAAATTTTCACCGATTTAAAAATGACTTGGGTCAATTTTTAATGCATCAGTACGAAGTTAAGGATCAATGATCCTTCCATGATCCCTTCTATTTGCCGCTGGGATGTGACCAATCATTGGGCGTGACGAATAAGCATGACTAAATATATTTATTTAAATATTTAATTTGTAATTATTTGTCACATCCAATGATTGGTCACACCCCAACGGTTAATTACAAAATTTAATAAAAATTAGAGCTCAGAATTATTAATTTATTATACTACAAATATTACGTATATCTAATTAATTAATTAATTAATTAATTAATAATGTAAAAAAGAAAAAAAAAATTAAATAAAGCCCTTGAATGTAAAATTTAAATAAATCTTTCTTAATTTTCGTTATTGATTTTTAAAAATGGAACGATACAACTTTCTGTCGCGTGAAACCTTTGATCGAATATTAGAAACTTTTATTCATCAAAGAAAAAACCAACGTAGTTTAATGGATCTAAATAAATATAATCAATGTTTAAACGTACTTAAAAATCCAAACGATTCACAAAACCCAAATTTTAAATTTTGGGTGATTCATAATTTTAAAATTCTTTGTGTTGGTATGACCGAAGAACTTCATATAATTAAGTCCACTGAAAATAATCTGGGAACGCAAGTTTGTCCCATCGAAAATTTTTATGAAATTATTTGTGCCGCACATCAAGCAATAGAACATGCTGGCCAAGACAAAACCTGGCGAAAGGTATTATTA